GGGGTAAGGGTTTTAGGGTTCGGGTTCAGGGTTTAGCAATTTAGGGTGACGGGTTTAGGAATTTAGGACTTAGGGCCTTGGGTTTAGTAGGGTTTAAGGCATAGGGTTTAGGGTTTAGGGCTTTCGGTGTTTAAGTCTGTGGCTTGGAGTTTTAGCATTTGGGATCTCGGATTTAGGGCTCAAGGTCTTAGAGTTTTGGCCTTTCAGGGTTATGGGGTTTGGGATAGGGGCCACAATCTAAACTCCCTCAAAGGGGGTTATATAAGGGATTATATAGGGGACTACTATAGGGCTTGTGCAGGGGGATACTAGGAGTTTAGATTACGGCTCGTATGGCCTGAACTTTCTGTGATGGGAATTCTTTGGCTCAAAGGACAGCACCTTGAGTGTCTTTCTACCTAGACCCTGCATCTAGCCTCTACCCATACCCCTATGAGTACAAGGAGGGTCCTTGTAAGAAATCATCAAGCTGCTGTTTTCGCGGCGCTACTGCAAGGCTAAGCCGTACCCAGGGCTGATTGACACTGCTTTGGGGTTTACGGGTTACAGGGTAGTTAAGGGCTCAGGGGCTTCTAGTTTAGAATTCAGGGGTTTAGGGTTTACGGCTCTTCGCACCCCCATCCTTGAAACACAACACCTTCCGAGATAGGTTCTTAAGTCCTTGCAGACAACTCAGGCCTCCAAAGTACCATGACCTTCCTTGTACCCTTAACTAGGGATATATGGTCCCCAATAGTGGGTATTTAGGGTAAAACAATAGAGGGTAGAAGGAGGGTCTAGGTAGAGCTGATTGATGCCTGCAACCTTGAGTCATGAATTCTGGCCTCGACAGTGGTTGGTGTATGTAGGCCACGCGATGGGGGTTCAAAATGGGCGGTAAATCGGGCGTAGGCATGCTGTAGCGGATAGAGGGGAACCCTAAGGGTCCAAGTACCCAATAATCATATACTTACCCCAAACCTATACTATAAATACTATTACCCTAAACCCAAGTACCTAAATATTGGGTACATGGACCCTCTGGGGAAGCTTTATGGATTAGATAGGCCTCCTTACTTCAGGTTGCCTTCTCAAAATCTGGAAACAAAGCAATACCCAAAAGCTGGATGTGTCGCACCTGCCCATTCTGATCCCTAGGCCCTCAGCCTGAACAGGCGCCCAATTGGGACCCTATGATGTATGTGGGTTATACGGTTCTCTACCAAGGGCTCTACAGAGATCAACTCAAGAAACTCTGATCTGGCGAAGGACCCCTCCTTCCAGGCGACGATCAAGGGCAGTCAGGGTATAGTCCCCCTTAAGTAGATAGAATATCGGGTTATATGGGGATCTTGCTATAATATACCCAAAGCCACATCCCACATTCTATCTACCCAAGGGGGACGGAGGATTCATGGTTGGAGTCGCAGGCAGTGTTTTCGCAGAGTTTCGGAACCGGCGAAGAGGGACTAACACAGTTCGTTGTACTTATTTGGATTTAGGGCTGGGCGTTTAGGGGATGCTCTGGAGCTTTGGATGGACTGAGGCTGCGTCTTAGATAAAAGAGTACCTGCGGGGTATGTAGCTCTTATAAAGCTGTACGTGAAATGCAATAGAGGTTACCCAGTTGCACCCCTATAAGACCTGTTATCACGCTAGAGCGTTCATTGTTGACGGGCTGGAGAGGGGGTCTTATTGCAGCAAAGAGATTAAGGTGTCAGGGTCTTTTGTTCAAGATTTGCGGCTAAGGGGTTTTTTAGGGTCTAGGGCTTCGAGCCATACGTCACATTTCAGTGCTTGGAGGGTCAGGGGGACTTAGCAAATAGGTTAATAATCCCTATATGCCATATAATAACCCCAGTTATCAGTATTATTAACCTATTTACTAAGTCCCCATGACCCTCCAAGTGCACTCACATTTTATGCGGTGTTCCTGGGTCATGGTGAAACTTCCAGTTCCACACTTACCACCTACTTGGCATTTGTTACTCAACGCCGCTACCAAAAGTCCCACAAAAAGGGCTATCATGAGAAACTCTGCGGCATGGACTTCCGGGGTTCCTCTTCCGGATATTCTGCCTGGAAGCATTAAAGGTTACACCTTAGACCTCCAACTAGAGGTCGAATGTTGGACTCCCTTATTCAAAGCCTACATGTTTAAGTCTGATTCACATCAAGAGTATGTAGGCCACGCTGACAAGGCTCCCATGTCACCCACGTCCCTTTAAGCTGGAGGCCTCAGGGAGGTGGTAGCAGAAACGAATGGTTCCACGGCTCATCGCACTCAGCTGGCTTCCTGGCACTGGGCTTGTGTAGACCTCATAGGAAGCACCAGGGTTGCTTATGGGTATATGGTGAGTGTATACAGGGTTCCTTGGGAAAATTGGTGGGTGTATGTGTGTGGGTGTCCTTTTGGGGGATCTTTAAGTTAAAGTCCTACTAGATATACCCTTGGCCTCCTTAGACAGCACGAGGCAGGAGCGCTTGCATGAGCCTCAAATGGCTTAGCGTGTGATTGCCTACAAGATCCTATCCAATTCCTGCCTGCTCATATGAGCTATAGTCTAAACTCCTAGTATCCCGCTTAATAAGCCCCATAGTAGTACCCTACATATAAACCCCTATACAGTATAACCCCCATTAAGGATTTTAAGATTATGGCTCATCATATGAGCATTTATTGAGGCCATGCAGGCGTAACGTTATCGCGGCGCCGCACACGTCCTTTTCCCTTGGGTTCCTAGGCTTAATGGTTCTTAGCAGGGAAAATATCCTAAACCCTCCCTTGCGTTCCTAAGTGTACCCTTGTTTTGAGAAGTCCCTCATATCGTTTGCCTTGTGCCTTAGGAGGACCCCCCTCCACCCTGTAATAGTGGTATAATAGGAATATAATAGGACCCTAATATAGTCCTCCTTGTCCTTGATAGTCACTATTACTCGGTGCTGAACCCAAAAACCCCAGCCCCTAAACCCTAACCCTGAAGGCCTAACCCCTAAGCCCCTAAACCACCTATTACTGGGTAGGGGGTCCACCTACACTACCCCTACACCCTAAACCTTTATATATATATATATACATATATTAGTTTTATATTTACAACCTTTGGGTGGGAGGTCACATACCTTATGCCGTTTCCATTTGGGCCAGGTTGCCTGTGAGGAGGTGAACTCCAATTGGGAAGCCAGAGGCTTCTCAGCTGTTTGCAGAAGTCAAGGTATAGGGTTTAGGGGTTTTGGGTTTGGGGGTTTGGGGCTCAGGGGTTTAGGGTTTAGGGGTTTGGGGGTTTAGGGTTTAAGGGTTTTGGGTGTAGGGGTTTAGGGTTTATGGGTTTAGGGTTAAGGGCTTAGTTGGTCTGAGTTGGAATTGTGGATATTCATAGAAAATGGCTACGGATTCTGATGTTCGGTTTGCTTCCATAATCCGGATCCGTATACGCCTGGTTCGCGCACTTCGGGGGCATCAATTTCACCAGCCTGCCATGCGAGAGCCTCCAGATTCAAGGATTGTGGGATCCACGTTGGTGGGTTAGGGTTCGGGGTTAGGTTCAGGGTTTGTGGTCTGAACCCTGAACCCGTAACCTTAATTTTGGTCTAGGAATCCTCAGGTAGGGATGGAAAGTTGAAACGAATTCTATCGGGATCTCGAGATCCTTGTTCCACCGCAAAGAGTAACAGAGAATCCTCCAAGGGGCCTTTAAAGACTACTGTCCGTTGAGGCGGGTTTTTCTGGCTTCCATAAGATATAATAGTAACATGGAGCCCCAGAAAGCCCCCTAAAGACCTCTACATGATGCTTCAGTTTGGGTGCCGCTAAAATGTGTTTTTCCTCCAGGGCTTAGGGGCTCAGGCTTAGCGCTTAGGCATTCCTAGGGTTTCAGGATGTAGGATTTCAAGCACTTGGGGGCTTAGAATTTTCCCCTAGCATAAAACCTCCCCACCCCCCTAATATGACTAATATGAAATATTCTCTTTGTGGTATGTTATAATCGATTTGGAATATTTGAAATTAGGGGTGGTGAATGGTTTATTATTCGGGGGAGGGGGTTAAGGTATAAACTAGGTCAAGCCGGAATCCTATCTGGAGCAGCAAATGCGGGATTTTTCCAGGGAGTCATGAACAACATCCCCAAATCTTAGGGTTTCTCTCGCTCCTGCGCAGGATTGCATGGCAGTTTGACACAGTTGGGGTCCCCCCCCTATCGCAGATATGCATTCTAATGACTCCACGAGATACCCCGAAATTCGTGAAACGTTTCATTTGAGCTAAAGTCGAAACTTCCTTGAAGGGGGGTATATAAGGCATTCTAGGGTCGGTTAGTAGGGGGATACTAGGAGTGCAGACTATAGCTCATTTGGGCTTCGTGATAATGTAGGGATTCTAACAGGGATCCTAATATTAAGGCGCTTAAAAGGAGGGGATTTATTAATCATGGGTCTACATTAACGTTTGAGAAGCTGCGAAGCGCACCGGCTTTGACCTCGCAGCCCCTGGGCTGAGCAGTGCCAGTGCAGGCAGAGAGGGGCCTAACAACGGGCTACTAGGACATGTTTGTTCAAGGTTTTGGCTTTTTAGGGTTTTGGGATTTAGGGTTTTACGGTTTTATGGTTTAGGGCTTAGGGCTCTGGGGTTTAGGGTTTAGGTTTTGTGGCCGGATCTGCAAAAATCTATGAGGATGATAGTTATACTGATTCAGGCTTCTGCGCTATTCAGTCATTGTGTGCACCTAAAGGAAGAGGAGCCGTAAGTTGAAACATGTCCCTGGCTCTGTGGCTATCCATAAGGGTCCAAGGACCCAAATAATAGGGTTTTAGGGCCCAAATACTATAATATTCGTGGTATTTGGGCCCTAAAGCCCTATCATTTGGATCCTTGGACCCTGAGGATATGGGACTTCTAGAAAGCCCTGATACCATTGATAAGGTTTTAGACCACAATCGCTTTCTGCAGAACTTGCTACTGAGGGTCTATCCAGGTCACCTGGTATTCGTAGGTAGCATTCTCTGGGCCCTCACGAGCAGCCATGTTTGATTTCGATGATATCGAGGCAGATGTTGAGCGCAAAGGTGCCGAAGCATGGCAGGAGGACGCCAAGGCAGTCCCAAGTGGGGCGGCCTTCGCGCATCGCCGGCCAGGGGCACCACCAATTGAGGTCACAAAGAAAGTCATCATTCGGGGCGTGGATGGCGCCCCGGAGCTGGAAGACAAGATCGGTGAGATCATGTCTTTTGAGGGCGGCAGGTATTGTGTCAAGGTCATGAATCTGAGTGGGCCAGGGGGCTACGTGCCTGGCGCTGCGGTGAATGAGGGAGCACACATGAAGTCTCTCCTTCCTGAGAACATCGAGCTGCATCCTGACCAAGTAGAGAAGGACAGGCAAGCCGCAGAAGACGGAGCAGTCGTCCTCTTGGGCGGCAACGAAGCCGAAAGAGCAGCACGTGAGGCACTCTACTCCCTTCGCATGGACCCACAGCACTTCTATGATAAAGCGGTGGAGCGAATCTTAGCCGCAAGACATGAGTTTGAAGTCCTGAACCTCGAGGCGAAGTGGTATGGGAATGACTTGAGCCTCATTAAGAGGGCTTACCGCAGGATCAGCGTCGGCATCCACCCTGATAAAAACAGGCACCCTCAAGCAGTCGACTGCTTCAGGAAGGTTTATGGAGCGTTTGAGACTTTGATGGACAAGAAGCAGCAGTGGCGCCTACTCTTTATACTGAACAAACTCAAGGATGATGAAGTAGACCTTTACGAGCTGGAGGCTGAGGAGGACGAGCGCTTCGAGTGGTGGCTTGAGGCCAATGTCCCAGAGATCGAGAAGCAGGCTGCCGAGATAGAGGGAGGCGAGTTTGAAGAAATTGGTGAAAAGTGGATCTCCGACGGAACAGGTGGCAACGTCAATGATGTAAAGTGGGCTGGCATGGCCGAAAGCTTGCGACTGCATGCTGAGGACAAGGCTGTGTTCATTGACTGCAGGACAGGGGTAGGCTTGAAACAAATGTAAATTTCAGCCCCTTAATCCCTTTATAGCCCCCATAGAACAATTTACATTTGTTGTAATAGGGCCACCAAAACCTGCCCTGGAGGGAGCGCTTCGAGTTTGAAATTGAGCACATTGACGGCGCCTTCAACATTCCCATGCGTGACTTGTTGGGTCCCTCAATCCCTAAACCTAACCCCCTGAGGCCACAACCTGAGCATTTTAGCACTTTGGGGGTTCTCGTTTTCATATGAAAGAAGCTGTTTTTTCAGCAGGGTAGTCGATAAGCCTAAGCCCCTAAACCCACAACCTCTATAAGCCCTAAACCCTTAACCCCTATGAACACTACACCCTGAACCCCTTAAACCCTTAAGCCCTAAACTCTTAACGCTTAAGCCCTAAACCCTAAACCAGGTGAGTTTGTCGACTTTGGCCTTGGGGGCGTGGCCGGCCCATGGGTGAAGGAGGTCTTGAAGCGAAAAGATCAGCCAGTCATCATCTACAGCGAGGAAGGGCGTGGGTTTTAAGGGTTTAAGGGTTTCAAGGTCTAAGGCTTCATAGTTTAGGGTTTGGGTTTTAGCGTTTAGGGTTTGGAGTTTAGGGTTTTGGGTTTAGGGTATAGGAGGGTAAAGGGTTTCAGATTTAGGGTTTAGGATTTCGGGTTTAGGGTTGAAGGTCCAGGGTTTAGGAGGGTTTGCTGTTTGAGGTCTAAGTTTTAGTGTGTAGGGTTTGGGGTTCATGGGGTTTACGGCTTGCGCATCAAGTTCAGAGGACAACATGTTACCCCGATATTTGAAGAACAAATGGAAAAGAACGTGGAAAGTGGAATGGAAACCTTTGGTTCCTTCAAAGGGGTGATGCGGACATAGAGGTTTAGGCATTAGGGCAATAAAGGGTGTATCTAAGCAGAGAAACCCCAAGTTACAACCAATAGTGGAGGGTCAAACGGAAAAGACGTGTGAAAACCAAGCTGGGATCATACCTTGGTTGACAAGATTTAGGGGTAGGTAGGGCAAGCTCACTTTAATTTTGCATTACCCCATGGTCCTTACTAATGAATTACCAATGGCTCGTGGTTCGTAATTATACCCCTAAACCCTAAACCCTTACCTAGGTGGCCACGCCTTTTTCGCGCTGCAGGGCCATGTGCCGATGGCTTCTGCGTGCTGGCTCCAAGTCTCTGCCCGCGGAACGATTGCGGCGGCTACGGGGTGGCATGTTTGGGTGGCGGCACAAGAAGGGGAAGATCATTCTTGCCATCAAGGACTACTACGATTGGTATTATTACGATAATTGCTATTACTGTGATTATTCTTATTATTATTATTGCTGTTGTTGCTATTTTTGTTATTCTTACTGTTTTCATTATTAGCATTATTAGGACATTACCCCGGAGCAGAAAGCTGCATTACACCGAGCAGCCGCCAAGCAGATTGGCGCGCTCAAGCCCGGGATGGAAGTCAACCTTCGGGTGCGCGTGAGATGGTTCGATGAGCGGTACAAGTTCCTTGGGATCTATTATATTGGGGTTATATAGGGTCATATTGGGGTTTTATAGGGTATATATTGGGATAATGGAAAAGACAATGGAAACTACTACAGTATATATTGGGGTTACATTGGCGCTATACCTTGAAGAATTGTTTAAACTCCCCACAAACAGCTACGCCTCTTATTTTTCCAGAGCTCCATGGCAGATTCAGGCACAACGGTGGACCACCCAAACCTGCTGCCATGCTCCATGACTCTTCGGGTGGCGTGCTGACGCTCCTCGCAACCCCAGCGCAGATCGCAACTTGTCGCGAAGCCGCCTCGCGCCAAGGATCGCTGCTTGTGAAGCTGGGTTTTGACAGTCATTGCTGGGTTCAGGGCGTAGGGTTTAGGGTTAGTAACCACCTCGCCATAAGCACCCCCCCAGACACCATAAAAAGAAATATTCCCCATATACATATATATATAGATACATATATATACATATATATATACATAGATATATATACACGATGTCATTATTAGGGGGTGGATTCATTCTGAGGAGGAGATTAAGCCCTTTCCTTTCTTGGGGGTCCTGGGATCTTTATTGTCCAAATAATGAGGGCCAAGTGCGGCCAACTTTAGTATACGACCCGCCCCTACAACTAGCGTTGACCTTCTTTAAACGATACCCTCGAACACTTCTTGCAGGATGGTCAGTCTCAGCAATTTGTAGACCTCTTGACCCTTTCAAACCTTAAAGCTACTGATTCCAAAACATCACAAGTTGATTTTGGAGCTTCAGATGTCCCTAAACCCTAAACCTTCCTTTGTCTCTTTTTTTGGTGTTGCTTTGCTGTTCCGCAAACCCTGGCATGAAACACAACCCTCCCACACCTTCACATTACTTGTGGCAAGTTTATGCTATCCATGCAGAAGCCAGTGCAAGGCATAAGTCATGTTAGAAGAGGAGGGGTTTAGGATTTAGGGTTTAGGGTTCTCGTAGGTTCTTGTCAGTGGCCCCAAAGGGTCCAAGTACCCAATCATCATGTACTTAGCCTAGATCTGTATTACCACTACCAGTGCCACAACCCCCAGTACTTAACAGTGAGGTACATAAGCCCTAAACCCGACCGCCGAAGACCCTATATATTCCTATACACGCCCCCTTCCCCCCCTCCCCCCTATATACCACCCATAGTTACCCCTTTAGACTATACCCCTTTATACCCCCGGACATCCCTATAAGACCCCCATGTCCATGTCACAGGGGATCCTAGGAACGGGGCCACGACCCTAAACCCTAAACCCTGCTCACAGGGGATCCTAGGAAACCCTAAATCCTAAACCCT